GAGTAAGGACTAAACCGCCCTTCGTGTATTAACAACATTCGCTAAAATGCATACTATATAATCTGATTAAGTAGGCTTTGTTAATTAATATTTTGGTACACATTCATGTTTATTAGCGTGCCTTTGGCAATGTCAATACGAACAATGTTTGTACCACACTGTGTGTGTGCGATGTCGCTGCGAAAGATCGTCGTTCATTCACACACGTCAGTTTGATGATTTTGTGTGATTTATTTACGGTAAAAATCAATAGAGATATTAAATATTCTCGTTGTCAACAGCGATGCCCCACTTTGAGTAGACTCATAGTATAATACAATGCTGTCTCTTATACACATCTTCAGACTCATTTGACAAACAGATTGATGTTAATATATATATTATATATATTGTAACATAGATAGGTAAGCACGTGCGTTCAAGTAAGATAGAAAAATATGGAGACGAAATATCCGTGAACCTAATAAATGTTGTTTCTGGGTGTTTTTGAATGTTTGAATGTAACAGGTGTTTTATTTAAGCTTGTGCGATTATATCTGTGAAGTATCGTGTATGCCCTATCATTTCTCAGGCTTCTTATTAATTCAGCTAATCACCAGACATATTAAAAATTGACTGCCCCACCCCCACCCCTCTCCGAGCTTGGGGATAAAGCCAAACCGTAGCATCAACACCAATACAGTATAATATACATTAGCACTATGGTTTGGCTAGGCCACTCAGGGGAGGATTTAGGGGTGAATGGGGACGGAGGAAACACGATTTTGCTACAGATAAAGATACAGATCGTCATACAAATACTAAATGTTACAATATTTCGTAACAGCATGAATCATGCCATCGCTGGTTACTTATATATCTGTATAGTGATTGTCATTACAGTACATATTATTCCTATGAAATCTGTTCCGCCTCGTTTAAAAATTCTGGATCCGCCCCACTCTTTTTATAGAGGTTCGAGCACCAGTGCACAGATTTATAAACAAATTATACAATACTCTCCCTAGGGAGCCGATTTGTGTTGCGACTCCAACTTCGCTCCCTGTGAGAGCTACTGTAGATGGCACGACGCCGTCTGTTGATTAATTATCAGTGGCCGTCTGAACTGATCGTCGTTGAAGACGATCTGTTGCGCGCGAGTGGTGGCGTTGCGTTTTTTCGCGTCGGTCGACGAATATCAGGCGCCGTAAATACCCCGCTTTAGTAGTGTTATAGAGGGCTATATAAATACCGTCATATGTATTGCATCACGCATTCCAAGCATTTTCACTTCAAACAATGCCTAACTTCAGTGAATAAGAAGATAAGAATCCGGTTTTTTTCATCTTATCGTTTTATTTGTTCTTCCACAAAGGCAAAATATCTGGGGGAAACCAGTGCCAACCACAGTAAAAATGTGATCACTGTAGCATTTAACAGTATGTTAACTGTCGAGTGATTTAAAGAATTTCGTTGATTTTATTGATAATTTTCATGACAAAAAGGAAATTCTCTATTGTTAGGGAAATAATTTCCAGACGACAACGAGAAATCAACGTTCTCACATGCGCGGATAATAAGCATGTGACGATATGGCATTCTAAACTGTGAGACAGCCCGGAATGTAGGCCAGTTGTGGGTCCAGTCCGTTCATACATTGATTCTTTTTTTTTTTTCATATTTGGTGAGAACTTTCTCAGCTGTAATTATTGTATCCCCGTTTTTTAAACAATCATCGTTGATATTCGTACATATATTTTCTAATGCTGTTCGAACGATTGATAGACTGAAGAGATGGGGGGTTGGGGCGAAGGGAACACTGCTTATAAAATACTGTAGCTATGTAGTTTTGTCCTACATTATTATACATAATAGCGAAGCAAAGGTGTTATGTCTTCGTTTTCCTGTTGCAATTTCCTATCCCGCCGCAGTTTTTTTTATGCTTGCCTGTTTGTGGGGTGCACTAATGTGTTAGTGTACAAAAAGCAGTGGGTCTGTAACCACGTTAAACATTGCCTCAGAATATCTGCTTTGAATACAAAATTTTCCCAACTATAGATTTATATGTAAAATGACAAAATATGCGATATAGGATATCGTTTTAGGCCAGTTAACATGTCCGCATAACCTGAACCTCGGTTCCTGTTGACTGCTATATACCCAAACGGCAGTGGTGCTGTCTGCGGAGGGGGCGGAAGAGGGGCGGAGGGTGAATCAAGGAATGCATTTGCTGCTCCTTCCTCATCCCCCATTCGGTCACATTAACCCCGTCATCTGACCCCCACAATGGGGATGATATTGGTACGACTTCATTATGGATGAGTAATGGTAAATGCGTTACGTACCATCTGTTTTTGTTAACAAATATTGACTCTTACTACTGCAAGGCATTCCCAATAAAAGAGCAAACAAGCCTCTATTCCAGGCTCATTTTTTTTTTCGCGGCACGCCTCTTAATCAACCTACAACTCATTTATGAAATATTCGTATATTCTGACTTGTAATAATATATTGTATTTTGTGAACACATGTCGTGGTAAATATTGTTTGTTAGTTATAACAATTGGGTTAGAAACAGTTGGGAGAATAAATTAAAATGTACAACGATGTGGTAGAACGTGTTATAAGGCATAGCCATCCGTCGATGTATGTAGTAGCAGAAGTATTGTCATGTTTGACCCTTACCTTACTTGTATATTGAGAAAACAAGCACTATTCTCCAAAGAAAATATCAAACATCAATGTAAGAAAAATCATAAAAAAATATATCTAATAATTGAAAATGCAAATAAATAATTGATCGATTGAATATAAAATTACATACACACTTAGCAAACATTATTAATTAATAATTGAATTATTATATTTAATAAAGTGAATTTTCTTTTTTGCAATTGTGATGTATTTATTTACTGTAATTAAAATAAACTAATAATTAATAATTTAATAACTTCCCTTTTTTTATAATATCCACGGATTTATTTATATTTTGTAGATGTATAGGGTGTAGATGTAGGTGCTTGACACCTGTTCATCCCTTCATTTTCGCTGCTTTTTCTGACTTGGTCTTGTTAATCTGTTACTTTTGTGTCCAATGATGAAGAATAAGAATTAAATAAAATAATCCTAGGCCGTATGGTTCGCAACCAGTGGCCAGGGTTCACCACTTTGTTGTGTACAATCAACTGATTCACTCTGTGCTGAGTTATCACTTTATGTATATTATTGTTATTTTCTCTTTTTCACATTTGTTTATTGTTTTTGTTTATTTTATTTGATTTTTTGTTAACAGGGAAAGTAATTTTAAAGACCTATAATAACAGTTTAATAAATAAGAATTTGTGAAAATAGTAATAAAATAATGACGATAATAGTAATAATAATAATAATAATAATAATAATAATAAATAATAATAAATAATAATAATAATAATAATAGTAATAATAATAATAATAATAATAATAGTAATAATATTAATGATAATAATAATAGTAATAATAATAGTATTAATAATAATAATAATAATAATAATAATAATAATAATAATAATAATAATAATAATAATAATAATAATAATAATATTTTTAATTAGTGGTAGCATTAGTTCCTGGAACAAAATTAATGATGTTGACGGTAATAATCGATATGACCATGTTAAGAATCATAAGAACAATTATAACATAATAATGTAATAATGAAATAAAAATAAAAACAAAATTACTAAACAGTAATGATAGTAGTAGTAATGATAGTAATAATAATAATAATAATAATAATAATAATAATAATAATAATAACAATAATAACAGTAATAATAATATAGGCCTATCTTTAATAATAGCAATAATAGTGAGAAGATTTTAGTTAGCCAACAGTTGTATTTCAAAATACCAGTAAGATACTGTATTTAACTACTTTTTTGTACACTACTCTGTTTTGAACTTTTATATTTTGTTATATTTTTGCTCGCTGTTTTTCATAGTTTAGCTTTTTATTTTTTATAATGTTCTTGATTTTGTATGTTCCCTTTGTGAACGCACCATCATTCTGATGTGTGCCGCTGTTCTAAAAGCGTATGTTCAATAAAGTTCAGTTCAGTTCACTGTGGAAAGAATCAAAATGCTATATTTTAGTAGCTAATCGATCAGTATAGACCCGTCCACTGACTGCAGACTCGAACCGATCATCTTCACAGTTCATCCCCACCCCAGCCAATCATGAAGTAATTCCCTATCTCACATATTCCAAACATGTAAACAAAATAGAAATAAAAATTATAACGCACATTAAAAGCATTAGTACATTCTGGAATTTAATTTCTTCGTCATAAAATTATGATCAGCCCATGAAAGTTTATTGTATAGAACAACTAAATATTTATAATTTAATACCTGTTCAACATTCCTATTACATATAGGTTCCATTTTTTTTTCCCTTACGAAAATCGACTGTCATCTTTTATTTTTTGCCATCATTTCGATTCCAGAAAATCATTCGCACAATACTGAATACAATTATCAATCGTAGTACGCGATACTGAGTTCTGTATTATCGTTATCTAAAAGACCTGACGTCATGATGGTGATAGGAATCTGTTGTACTCTATTCATGAAAAAATATTACTACAAAGGCCAGTAACGGCACAAAAAAAAATATATTTATATAATAATATATTAGCGGGGCATAATTGACAATTATGTAGGCTTACCAGGAAGTAGGGATGTAACAAACAGGTACCACTCGTCTGAAACACGAAGTAAGTGAATTTAATAGAGGAATGTTTGCTCATTATTTCCACACGTTGAGCACGAACTATAGCTTGGTTAATACTTACAGCAATTTCTACGCCATTTTTAAAACAAGTACAATTAAATCAAATGGGAACAAAACCAGAATAATTTGGAAAATTTATTTATAAACCATAGAACATTGAACGTGTATAGAGGTCGCCCTTCATCAAAATAGATCGCTGATCGCGGGTGCTGAATTTTAGGACTGGAGGTACAGATGGAGATAGTACAACGTTTAAGTTCTTGTTAAAATGGCCCAGCTGGTTGTGGACCGAATTGGTTTGGGCCGATGCGACCAGCATATGATTTAGCTTTAGTTTAATGTAACATTCGATAGATTTGAAGAATATAAAGAATTTGCTAAAGGGAGACCAGGGAGTTGCTGGGGAGACCAGGCCCAAGCTGATTAGGCCAAGCCGTCACGGTAAATGTAGCAGTCCTACATAATTGTAGGCAGTCCAAAAGACGGCCGGACGGCTCGCTGGCTAAGCCTATGTTGGGCAATGAATTAATCTTCATCCGACCACGAGGTATCCATGATGTTGAGTTCACGTCCACCTGTTCGCAAAAGAGTTAATTATGTTGCAAATAGAAAAATATATTGGATTATCACTCCCGTCCGCGTCAAAAATTCTGGAAATATTGATGCGGGAATAAAAAAAAATTTTTTTTGCTGCATCAATTATTTCAACAGCATAAAAATAACAATGCAATTTTGCAACTTTAATTACATTTTCTTTAAAAAAAATTAAACCAGTTTTTATACAATATTTACTATTACAGACCAAATATAAACAGTCCCTCCCTCATCCGTAAAAACAAAAGTGAAATAATCTATTGTTCCGTTAAAAAAAAAAAAAAAAAAGAAAGAAAACCGCCCTCCCTCTTAATTTTTGAGAGGGAGGATTGTGCCGTAATATTGATACTGTATCTTTAAAAGTGTTTATGCCACTGGTCAGTTACCACTTTTGAGATAATGACAGTACAGAATCAATGAAGGCTGTGCATTCTTTATGTATTTTATTTTTCATATTCCATTATTTTACATTGAATTTTTTATTTTTCAGCTAGTGGTTTCATTAAAAAAAAAAAGAAAACAAAAAAACCTCCTTCTCTACCAATTTTTTTTTTTGTAAAAAAGGATGATCAACAACTCTTTTTTTTAACATGGCCCTTTTTTTTTTAACATGGCCTAATGCTATGATTGCTATCCGCGACCCTGACCGAGGCTGTAGTCGGACCCTTGGTTTGGACCCCGCTGTTGGACATGTCAAACACCCAGTTGGCAAATGTTTTTTAGCCATTTTAGCAGCTTTTAAATTAAAAAAAAAAATTCAACTGCAGAAAAAGTTTTCTTTATTGTAAAAGGACAAAATACAGAAAAGGTCAAAATACAGTAAGTGTAGGTCTAAGCATAAAGCCAATGTAAAACCACAGAACTATTCACAGGGTTTAGAGTAAAAGTTCATAGTGTCAGCCTACTATCATTGGGTGCAGTGTGTACTTGCCTTTTGTTTTCTTCCGTATATGGAATTTTATGGTGGTATCTCATTTTTCTTTTTTGCAGATTTATTTTATCCGTACGGAAATGCAACAGATCAGGAACTTCCCAAAGAGGATGATATAGGAATTGAGGTGCACATTGCCAGGGACTTCCCATATTTCGACTCGAATCACAGATCTCTCTTCGTAAGTTCTAGTTGTAGTGAGAACAGCAGCTTGGCTCAATCGGCTAAACTGTTGGTAGCCACTGTGTGTGGTCCCCGGTTCAATTCCCACCGCTGCTCTTCGTGTATTTCAGCTTGAGAGCTGAAGTGCATGTTATGATAGAGAATCGTAATTACGGATGGAACATTTAAGCGGTTGATCGTGTGTGCATTACATGCCCATGTACATGAACACAGTACACTCTTCAAAATGGAGTGGGGGATTGTCTCCCGGTGTACTGCCCAATCACCACTGGAAATAAGTCTTCCTTTCGTAGATTATTCTTGGAGTACACTGAATGAATGGACCCATTCATCTTACCTTACCCAGCTTCTTCGCGTCAAGTGACGCATAAAGCCTTAACAGAATGCCTCCATCCGTCCCTGTTGGCTGCTGCCGCTCTAGCTGCTCCCCATGATGTCCATTCATACAGGATGACCCATTCATACAGGTTCATTTTTCAGGTCCGAATTTGGATCGGGGGGGGGGGGATGTGAAACGACCTTGCCAATAAAAAAATATTAATATAATGGTCATTTTTCATATTTTAACTAAATGGAACTGATTTGCAGTCATCATAGTGGAAGGGTATCCCACATTCCCCTTCCCATAGCCTACACCCATTGCATACCTCTACATTCAGATAAAGATATAGCTAATTTCATAAGCGGCTAGAATCAGCGCTTGCTATTGGATTCTACCAGACAACCACTTATACTCCTGGGTGGAGAGGGACAAACGTAGGTGAAGTGCCTTGTCTAAAAACACAACGACTTGCATGGTGAGGGTAACAAACCTCGAACTGAAGGTTGAATGTCTGAGCCACAAAAGTTTGCGCCAACTGCTTCCACGTCCGTTTAATAACAATTAAGTTATTTTATTATTTAAAATTGATAACTGACAAATGAACTTTGAACTGATTTTTGTTTAGGTCAATGACAATGGTATCCTATCGTTTAATAAGTTGGTGGAGGCATACGAGGCGGATCCCTTCCCATTGGACGATAACCGGCGTTTGATTGCCCCCTACTGGGCAGACGTGGATCTCAGCAAGGGCACAGGTTCAGTATTTTACCGTGAAATCACAAATGATGAAGAAGTGTTTGACAGAGCAACTAAAGAAGTTTTAAGGGTGTTTGGAGGTGAACTTGGCTTGAAAAAATTCACTACAAAATGGATTTTTATAGCAACATGGGAAAATGTTCCCTATTTTTATCTCACTGGAGTAGGTGATGTAAGTTTAAGTGGAATGTATGTTTTATTTAAAAAAAACAACTCAATAATTATTATGATATTATCACCGGTGGTGAATTCAGTGGGAGGGGAGTCAGCCTGGGTGCCCAATCCCCTAAATTGAAAAATGAAATTACCTCTATATTCAAATGGAGAACATATTTGATTTTGCACACAGGTTTTTGCTGAAACTTAAGCATTTAATCTTAATATATAATTTTATGCAATATTCGCGAATCTGCGCACCTATTTTCCTAGAGATTTTCCACGTAAATTTCAGCTGGTTTTGAGACATCATCCACATAATTAAAAAAGAAAATTACAGTATGTTGCGGGGCTGTGGTGTTTCCTGTGAAAGCTCCTCTCTAGGCCCCTCTATTTAAAATTCCTGGATCCGCCACTTATCAACTGCGAAAAGTCATAGGGTTTGGGGTGAGTTGAGTGGCTGAGTGGTAATTGCAGACCACCAAATTTTGGAGCTTCCGGTGGAAGAATTTTACAAATTCATAATTATTTAATTGTATGCTTAATTTAATCTACATTTCTAGAGATACAACACATTTCAGACAGTGCTAATAACAGACGGTGTATTATCATTCGTTATGTTCAATTATGGACAACTTGAGTGGACCACAGGGTTGTCAAGTGGTGGGGAAGATGGACTAGCAAAGGGAAACAAGTCTGTTGCTGCACAGGTAAAAAACAAGTTCTCATAGTCTTGAGAGCCTTGGTAAGGGCAGTATAATAGAAGCAGTAGAATTGGCCCTAAAGGCTGCCCATACAAAAATGATTTATAAATCAATCAGCTGAGTGTTTCTCGATTTGCACATTAGAGCTAAAAAATTCCAAAAGTTTAGAGTTTTTTGTTTTTTTGTTTTTTTAAAAATAATTTTCAATCATTTGTCATTGTCTTAAGTTATGTTTAAGATTAAACACAAGTTTCTAATTTATTTATTGTTTTCAAATGTTAGAAACTTTCGACGAGCACCACTAGCATCTGTTCATATCGATAAACTTTTTATGTTGTTTAATTTAAATCGCAGAACCCAGAAAAAGTGTAGTATGGAAAGCCATATGTGCCAAAATCAATTTATTTTTAATAATTTTCACTGATTTAGACAAAGTTTAGGGAATGGTACCCAGTCTGCCGTAGTTAGTTTAAAAGGAGAGAAAATAGCTTTCACTACAAAGGTGTATAAAAGCTTATCTGTAGATCACCATTAGTAACAGAAATATCAAGTAATTTGATTGGTGGAGGGAAAGTGACTTATTATCTATCCTTTAACCTGATAGGTTGGATTCAATGCCGGTGATGGTGTTAATTTCTACTCAGTTGTTGGTTCGCGAACCAATCAGATCCTTAACATCAATAGGACGTCAAATGTTGATCGGATTGGACGGTGGATGTTCCGGGTTGACTTGACGGACATTGTGGCTGGTGGTTGTTATGACGACATTGACGGTGAGTTATTTAATTTTTATTTTACAAAGCCCTGTCCAGAATTGAAAAATTTATTTGACAATATTATGTGACATGCCTAAATATGGTCATGACGATGTCACATCATGACCATATATAGGCACATCATGACCATATATAGGCACATCATGACTATATATAGGCATACAACAGTTTTTTGTCGAAAAAAATTGATAGGACAGCAGAACTTAACTTGATGATTTTTATTTATTCAGTATGAATACAGGGATGTAATTATGAAGGGTGGAGGCTGGCAGGCCACTTAGGCTTGAAGTTTTCCACCCAGTCTAAAGCTAATTTTATGACCCTTCACACACCCTTATTAACCCACTTTTAAGTCTCTGAAATTTATTTATTTATTCTTAGTTTTCTATAGCTACAACCCTGTAAATAAGATAATAATATAGAATTTATTTATGTACATATAGTTACAAGGATAATAAAGCAAAAGAAGAAAATATTTGGTATCAGTTAAAAAAGTATAATAATTAATATAATAATATAAATTATGATAATTGAAGATAAAAAATATTCTTTCCAGACGACAGGCTATCGATCAGCCCCAGGGTTGGAAGCCTTCTAGGAGGAGAGGTGTTATATATCTCTGGACCCTGTTTTGATGAAACCAAAAGCATAAAATGCAGGATAGACGGAGTTGTTACATCGACTAGTTACAAACAACACAGTCCATTCACAGTTGAGTGTGTAACACCAATGTTGCTAAAGGTCGGAGATATTTCAGTGGCTTTGTCAATAGATGGGGGGAACACTTTCCCCTACACGGGATCTATTCATATCGGTACGTTAAAATTTATTCTATGCACACTATGTTATTTGTATCTTACAAAAACAAATTATTTAATTTTTTTTTTTATTATTATATATTTTATTTATATTTATTTTTTTATTTATTCTTTTTTTTAATTTATTTTATATTATTTATTTATTTATTCTTTAAATTTTATTCTATATCCACTACATTATTTGTATCTTGCAAAAGAATTTACTTATTTTATTTATTTATTTTTTTATTATTTATTTATTTTTATTTATTTATTTATTTTTTAAATTATTTATTTATTCGTTTATTTTATTTTATTTATTTACTTATTACCTATACACTGTGTATGTTTATATTTCTAATGTTTTTTTTTGACATGTCACAAAATTTGTTTATTCTTGTTTTGACTTTATATTACTATATCGTAAAAGACTGTACAGTAGTTAAAACATATGTTTATTTTGCGCAAAAAAACATTAAAAAGAAGTTCTCAATCATTCGTTTTTATTCAATGTGCTCTTTCCCGTTTAGCAAACTTTGCTTTCCCGTTTAGCCAACAAACCTCTTTGAAATTTTTTACATTGCTACAAATATTGCTCTTGGCTAAATTCCAAATTATCTACTTAAAAGAGTTTACAAACTGTTAACTTTCCTTGCAACAGGATACCCAAGTCCAGAAGCACTTAATAATTGACGTTTTATTGTATAGTACTTCCTTATTGATATAAGTCAGACAATAAGTGAAGAACTTATTTCTACCTGATTAATCTTTTTATGTAGTGTTTATGTAGTGTTTTCAGAGAATACGTTTGATTGTTATCATACAAGTATTTATAAAGGCCACTACAACAACACACTTGGCGCCCTGTTAATGTATAGGTTGTCTGTGTTCTAATGGGGGGGGGGAATATTTCAAAAAAGGGGTTATCCAGTGGCAGATCCAGAGAGATCGAGAGACAACACTACCCTAGGGAGCGTTCACCTGCAAAATTTTGGTTTTCTAGACACCCAGAAATAACCTGTAAATGTGTTTTGGGTGGTCAGTAATTTCCTTTTCTTTCTTTTTTTTTAATTTCCAAAGAGTTGGGATGGTGGGGGGGGGCAGCATGCCTCCAATCCCCCCACATCCCTAAAACAAATTCCGTCTCTGCTATCATTAGTAATGGAGGTGTTTCTCTTTAGAATGGACACTTTATTTATTATTAATATTTTATAGGATTTTTAGGGGTTTTCTGGCATCGCATGTTTTTGTCTTTTGTCTTTTGTTTTTGTGAATGTTTAATTCAATGTATAATAGCAATAATTATATCTTATATATTATGATATTTTGTCAGTAGTTTGTAGAAATTTGTGCAATTCAGGATTACTTCATTTTAAATGTAATCTTAAAATCTTTTAAAATCATAATATTAATAATTAATAATGAGAATGAAAATAATAAAAATAATATGTTTAAAGATTTGCATGGCGAAGTAATAATAGTAGATCACCTCATAGATAGTTCTGAAAAGAACTGTTGTTTGTTCAGAATGTCTCAACATTTTGATTGATTTGCTTCAATCATCTTCAGGATAATAATACCTGCAGAGAATCCAGACAAGGAAGTACTTATGTATAATATAAATAATGATAATAAAAATACAATAAATAAGTATAATTTTTGTTTTACTACTGTGGTTTTTTTTTAAATGTATTTTTATGCCTTTATATGTAAACATCTCTTTCACAATTCAGTTTCATACTATGAAATTATGAATTTTGTTATGTAAAAATTAAAGTTGTCAAGCTAACATCATAGCCCAGTTAATTTTGGGATTTTGGTTTTGATTTTTAAGAAAAATTTACTGAAATAATTGTTTATGTAAAAAATATATAATTTTGAAGTATTGTATCATTGTGTATCATTAAAACGATTATATTGTGTGTGTATATATATCAGTGAGTGTCATCCTAGACAGCAGCAATATCATATTTTCCTTCTTTTCTTTTTAGTGAGTCTTGATATAATACGTCCACCCATCACCTTCACCTCCAGTGGCGATACTTTAGACATTTCCTGGCCAGTGGGAAATTTTCCGTACTTTTATTCTACTGCAGAAGACATCCGCGTGGATCTCAACATGTATACCTACCAAGAAGGAAATTCTAATCGTAGAAGCATTGGTGGCGACATTAGGCTGGAAAAATTAGTAACCGTTGTTTCAGACATTGCGTTGACGACTGCAGGCTATGAACTGGACCTAGCGTCCTTGCCTGTGGAAGGAAAAGATGTTGGACTACTACAAATAGTGGAGCATTCTGTAGCGCCCTCTATAGATGTTCAGTGAGTGAATTAAATTCTTTAACTTCATTCTATCATACATTGTTATATTACCAATAATTTTATATCATTTCTTATTTGTTATTATTATTTACATATGATTTTTATTATTATTTTATTTTTATTTTTTATATATTTATTTATTTTTTTAAATTATTTTAATTTTCCATGTTTATTTCTTTTGCATTATTTATAGGCCTAGTATGTGGAGTTTGCCTTTCAACCTTAATCCCAGTAATTCTGACAGTGCCACAACGTGGTGTAATGAGTGGGCTAGGACAGCGGAGGGGGTAAATCCAACTGATGACACACCTCCCTGTCCATGTACTCTGCAGCAGGCTATAGCAGACACAACCTGGTACGAAGATGACCCCTTCTGTAATAAAGGATCACAGCTAGAGCGTAATTGTAAAAACAGACCTGACGCCGTACATTGTGTAAGAGCTCGTCTTCCAAGGTAAGAGCTGGGATAGTTGTAATAGTAAAGTTTCCTCTCTTAGAAAGTGAGTTTGAGTCCAATTTGGAGGTGGGCTTATACCCAGGGACCAGTAAAATACTACAGTCATAAAATTGCAATCAAAAGTTAGATTGTTTTCGTCTGAGCCTCTCCATAAATCTAATCTAAGACATAAGTTACTATTTGTCGGATAAACTGGAGCCAATATGTGTGCACTGAACTGTGGTTCAATTCGCATGTCTGAGTGCTCAGCTTGTGCTTAAGTTTAGAGGATTGGAAATCAAGTTTGAAAAGCGCACCATCATTTTTCGGATGAGACATTTAAGTCATTGGTCCCATGTTGCAAAATGGCCCATGTGCATGTTAAAGAACGCAGTACACTCTTCTGAAAAGAGAAGGACCCCACTAGAAATATGTCTTAGGACTTTTCATGTGTTAGTATCTTGGTGCATATCAATGAAGAAATCCAATTCTAAGGAGGAACTTAAAATTGACTCAAAAGTCGTTGAGGTGGGCTTATACCAAGGACCCTTTGATATAGAAGCAGTTGGCGTGTCGGTTGTGGCTTGGAATTCCAACCTTGCGGTCAAGTTTTTGAAACTCCCACTGTGCAAGTCGCTTGTGCCCTTGGGCAAGGCACTTTATCTATGTTTGTCTCTCTCTACCCAGGAGTATAAATGAGCACCTGGTAGCATGTTGTAGCATTCGTGCGCTATCCAATGACCAGGGGTAATAACACTCAAACAGCTTTGAACACATAATTTGGAATTGGCGCTATATATATGTTCAAGCATTAGTACAGTTTTTTTTATCAGTTGTAACACAGTAGCACACATATCCATCTAATATAAGATGCTCAGGGCGCTTGAAATGTGGACTAGGAACTCGATTAGTCACTTTGTGTTGCTTCATGTGTTAGAAATTATCATCAAAAACACAACCTTATACTAACCGAGATTTCTTTTACAATTTGTATATATTACAAACCTGCCCACTGCCAATAATGATGATTTCGAATAAAAATACAATTTTGTTTCTTGCCAGTTAGCGCAACCGCCAACACAAAAGAATCGAAATTTCAGAAAAAAAATAAAAGTTTTTCTTTATTTTTATTTTGCCCACTGCTGTCTTGAAATCTCCAAAAATATAATATGTATATTTCTTCCTAATTATATAAATTAAAAGCATTTTGCCATCCCATTACTACGATGTTTACATTCACCAAAACAATTTTGTTTTTATTTTCTCTCCTCTGTCTGCATGTATTTGGCAAATGATTTTCTGAATAAGAATAAAAAGTTTTATTTTCATTTACATTCTGCCCTCTTCCTATGATCGTTGAAGTATTAAGTTTGTAAAACAAGGTGTAAAAATTCTCACTTAACATATTATAATTGATGTGACTTGATATGATGACTTTTTAATGCTAGTAAGATCTGTGCAGCTATTTGAAGCAATCATTATTAATATTAGCTACGTTCACATTCACGGGTTAACATGATCCAGGCAAGGAGGTATACCTCCTTGATCCAGGGATCATGATCAAGCCAGTCATTTTTTAACCTACCAGATTCAAATAGCGTGCTCACCTTTTTGTGGTCAAAGTGGGCATGTTGATGTATCATGATTAACCTTGTTTAACATGATAAATTAATTCATGAGATCTAATTCAACCAATCAGGGTTTAGTAAGTCCAATATTCGAGACAACCTCACCGGTTGTGCTTCTGGTAGTTATCATGCAACACTGCACATCATTAGCATAAATAGATCATGATGTTGTTTCTATAGGAACAGTTTTTCTCTAAGATGCTAAAGTTATCATGATGTCAGATCATGATAACTTTATCACAAAAACTTATGTGAATGTGTCTACTATCAATTGATCAATTTAAATCAATATTATAATCATTTTTGTCAGTTTATCTGCTTAATATTGTACAGAACTATTGTTAATTAATCATAATATTTTTTCCAGTACAAACGGTAATGGAAACCAGTGCTGCTATAGTGTGGATGGATACATCCTTCATCTAGAAGACTTCTCATCAGGCGGTAGCCATCAGCTTTATCACCATGCCGGTGCTTCTCCTTACGACCTAGTCGGCGATATCCCATTCCTCTCAAACTACCTGTGGGACGTGATTCCCTGGAATCAATGCTGCGTAAGGTCAAGTAGTCACAGCTCATGCCAAGCGTACTTGAATAAAAGACCGTCGGACCAGTGTCTTGACTACAACACACCTGAACCAGGTAATTTGGCAAATAGTATTTTTTCTGAGGGGTAGTTCTATAATCTAGCTGTGCAGTGTCTGAATTGTCTCCATTCCACCTCCTGAAACACCCCTTGAAAGTAATAGAAATGTCCATCTCAGCTGCCATACTGTATATATGCTGAATACTACTATGTGTTTGCCCTCATTCCTCCATCAGCCTGTAAAGTGCCCCATTCAAAGCACTGATTAAAAGTTCCCATATTTAGGCATAATGTATGACATCATCATGCACTTATATGGGCATATCACACATATTTGTCACACAAAATTTGATAGGGCGAGTTTTATTATAATTCCATCTTTTTTTTTGTTTACTTCCGCAGCAAGTATATTTGGCGAGCCACATATTATTACATTTGATGATGCCAGGCTGGCATTCAACGAGCTGGGAGAGTTTGTCTTGATGCAGTTGACCTCTGCATCCGAGTTGACCTCTGCCACAGAGTTTGAGATTCAGGGAAGACTGCAGCCATTTAACAGTATGTCGACTACTTTCTTTCAATGATGTTGAAATAAATTAATCTTTAAATTTCTATTGAATATCATACCATCATCAACACCATCATAATAAATATCATCTCTATCGCTATCATCGTCATCATTGTCATAATCATCATCATCGTCATCATTATCATCATCATCATCATTCTTATTTCCATCACAACAATAAGCAAATTTGTCAGTTGAAATGTGCATGCATTCAGTTAACATAATGTTGTGTGTATGTTTGATGTGTCGATTGACATTGATGTCAGTGAGCGTGTGTAATCAAAGTACAAATTGGCTTTTTATAAATCCTTCATAATTATGGTCCTATAGGATAATTTAGATGCGTTACGCAAACTCAAATTATGCCAATTTATCACCACTTTCGATGGTATGAACACTGCACTGATGCAAAACGCGTCACTTCAAATAATAATATCAATATTTTAAATATGATAGTGAAACAGTTTCGGCTTTCTTTTAAGCCATGTGGCTGCGTTTTGATGCGCCCTATTTTTATCCCACTGACATTGGTTTATCATGTTTATTCAGAGACTGCTACAGAACCAGGAACTGTTGGCACCGCCCTGACTGCCTTTGCTGTGTACTATGCTAAATCCACGACATACATCCAAGTGGTGCTTAGTGAACGTCGAACAATGGATCTAATGGTGTGGGAGGAAGGACAGATGACGGAATGGCAGTTGATTGATTTCGCGGCAGGATCATGGTGGAGGTTGAATGGTAATAATTATATAAAATGAAAATAATTATAATTAATAAAACAAAGAAACAAGATAGAATAATTATATAAATATATAAGATTTAAAAATATGCATATTACACTAGTTCTATTCCATCATGCATTACTTGTATTTCTATTGCACTAATTCCTTGTATTTACAAAGCGCTAATTACCCTCCATTTATTATACATCTGCACCATCATTTAAAAGATGTTTAAACAATTGTCCAATAAATGGCCCATGTGCATCTTAAAGAACGGAGATTGTCTCGCAAAGTGGTGGCACTGCCCTGCAGCTGTTGTGTCTCCCCCAGGTCGACTATTGATTGCTCGCATAATAAAAACCTTATTAAAAAATAATTAATTTTTTTAGGTGTTACTGTTTCTTCAACTACGCCATCAGAAATCTTGATTCAGTATGATAATGGAATATCAGCTCAGGTCAGAGTTCATAGTAATTCAACAGCCATGGCGCTATTGGTTTTAGCACCTGAGTCCTTCAAGATGCGGACAACAGGACTTCTAGGCTCATGGAATGATAATCCTGAGGATGATAATGTATCATCAACTGAATGTAAGTAAGATTTAAACTTTGTTTACACTACAAAGATTTATATGACAAAAGTCTGTGATTTGCCCACATAATAAATACTTTATTTTAAAAGAGTAAATCTTGATTTACTCAAGGGTGCTTTTCATCAAGGCCGTGCAAGGCCATATACATATATGTAGTATAAATATTAGAAAAATAAATGCAAACACAATGTAGTAATAAATCTCAGATAAGGAAAGTATAATACACACTTCAAGCACCGAAACGTACACCACTGCACCGGGACCCAACATTTCGACATTAACTATGTCATCATCAGGAATGATCATTATTAATTATTAATTATTCATAAATTAATAATAAATGAAAAAAGCATTAATTATTAAATTAATTAATTATATAATTAATTAATTTATTAATTATAAATTATTATTATTAATTTATTAATTATTTATTTATTTTTTTAATTTTTTAATTTTGTTTAAAATTTATTTATTTTTATTTTTTTAATTTTAAAATTTGTTTTTGAGCATTTTAAACTTCCCTATTACATTTTTACTTATTTATTTATATATGTTTATTTATTTATTTTACTGATTTATGTTTTATTATAAATGTATTATTATTCTTCCTTTTTATATCTTTTTACATTTTTTTAAACTTTTTAATTTTAACTTTGAAATTTAATACTTTAATAAATTGTTTTAACACATTTTAATATGCTTTTTAACCTACTATTTTATGCTATGCAGCATTTAAATTTAACTTGATTACTATTGTTTTTTCCTCAAGGACCCCATTGGAAATAAGTCGTTTTTATACAACTTTCATGGGCTATCCTAGTATACCATGGTTTACAACAAAGCATTTTATTGACTTTAATTTTTAATGTTTTTAAAATTTTTTAAAGTATGTTTAACTTTTAAGAAAATTATTGTTATTTGCTATTTGTTGTTGATGTGGTGTACTGAATAAAGTCAAATCAAATCAAATCAATTTGCTCCAAGATATATTATATATTATGGTTCCCTTTTTTTTCCAGTTGTGGTTGCAGCTTCCAATTCCTTCTTTCACTACGAGGCACTAGCAAACTACACAACATACAATCAGCCTGGATTCGTCCCTATATCCACGTTGCCGTCCACTATACCGGAGGAACAGGTTAACCTTCTATGCGGGAATAGCATGGCATGTGCTTATGACTATCAGAAAACCGGAGATCCAAATGTTGCCAAAGGAACTAAAGACGCGGAGGAGGATTATGATAATACGGATGATTCTACAGAAGATGGTGAGTTTGGGGAATCATTATCATCACCATCGTTATCATCATCAACATCATTATCATCATCATTATCATCATCATCATCATCATCGTCGTCATCAATATTATCATTCATTATCATCATTGTTAAAAAGAAATTTTAATTAAATTTAATAATTTGTACTAATAAACAAAATTTTATAAATTGTAATTTTTATGAAGAATTTTGATGTATATTTTATATCGCATGCAATTCAGTGTTAATTTTACTGCCATTTCTGATCTAAATAAAATGGTATGAAATAAAATATTTCCATTCCAAAATACTTAATAATACATTAACCAGTATTAGGCCTAGGGTGATTAATGTTGCACTGTGTTTTCTTGCAGTTTCTGTCTGCCCTAGATTGGATGCACCCGTTGACGGCACTAAGATAGGCACTGTTTACATATATGGTATGAGTGTTTCCTTCACATGTAGAGAGGGATCAACGTTAGTGGGCTCAGAGAGTCGTACTTGCATCAACGGGGCGTGGTCAGGAAATGCAACGTCCTGCGAAGGTATGAATTTGATTGTGTGTGCTTTTTAAATTGATTTTCACAGATAAAGTGTCAATACTGCCTCAGCCCCAACAAAGTTGTCGGTGGGGTTAGAAATGGTTAATGATTATGGCACCTGTAGGTGCCTGGAAATGGCACTCTCAGATTTAAATTTGAATATGATTTTCTTTTTTTCTCTTCCATTTTTGAAATATAATTTTGAAAAATTTAGGGGGTGGCCGGGGCTGGCTGGGTCTCCCCATGAATCTGCCACTGATTGAGTATGCCAGGGTAGCTATGAATCATGATAAATTGGCAGTATGCCCAGTGAGCCTAGTTTAAATAAAATTCAGTAGACGTTGGCCTATGTTCATGAACAATTGTTATGGTTGGCCTACGGTTCCTGAAAATGGCACAAAAATTTCATCCGTTTCATTTGACTTGGGCCTAGTTTCTATATGACTGCAGGTAGACATGGGCAAAGCTCCTTTTCAATTAAATTGAATGGGCCTATAGCTAAACAAACTTAGATAGACATGAACCGTGTTCCTATTCAGTTGCGTAGACATAGGCCTATTGTTCCTCAACAATGGAGCCGGCGCTGGGCCTAGCTCCATGATCGAATCAAATCAAATCAAATGTATTTGTCCAATAGTAAATCACATTGAGAAAATCATTGTACAAAGATTACAGAAGCATGTGACATGCCTAAATATAGTCATGATTATATCATATCATGACCATATATAGGCACATAATGACTATATATGGCATAAGATGAGGTTCTATATCAACAGCAACTATTTATGTTTTCTTCAGGTCCAGAACCAGATAAAATTACAAAAACAAATATCATCTTACCCCTAGTCATCGCAGCGGGTGCTTTGTTTGGAATAATCAGTATCATTATACTAATAATGATATGTAGGATCAGGAGAAACCGGAAGAAAAAGGAAACAATTGAGATGGACCCGACCCATGAGAGGGGACCAAGGTATATATATATGTAAAAATATGAATAAATATACATTTCATATATATTTATATGTATTTTTGATATATGAGGCAGTAGAATGTGGCAATATTGTATACTTTAGTACAGAGAGCCATAATACTTTTACTTATGGCAACAGTAAGCTGATTCCAGTAAATGGCTCATCATTTTAAGGCTTACAATGTTGAGAATATGATTAAATTAAAAACTCAATTTTCATTTTTGGCTCACTTATGCTGGTTTTCCATACAAAGCAACACCCCTCAACAATTAATGGAACAGTCTACTTCTGTTATGTTTATAAAGCCTGGTTTCCATAAAATCACTACAGTGTTTTCGGTGCAATTGTTGAACTGCGCAGAAGTCCCTGACGCAATCGGGAAGGCTCCCCGATTCGACCGACCAATCAGCACCACTGAAAGCTCTCGGCGATTGTATGTAGCGATTGTATGGAAACCAAACTTAAGGTACACAATAATCCTCCCTTGATAATTATTTATTTTATTTTTTGTTTTATATTTATTTTTCAGCAATATTCCAAACCCTGGTTATGATGACTTCGACGAAACACCACCAGAAGAGAGAAAAAATGTAGTTCAAATAACTCCAGGAGGTGATCCGGAGTATACTAAGTTGGATGATCATAAAAAGAAGGGTATTGATAACGACTATATGTCAATTCGCAATGGAGCTAGATTATTAAATGGATATGACTATCCGGATGAAAAGAAAGAGTAAGTCTTTAACATAAACAAAGGATTGAAGATTAATTTATTGACTTGTCCATAAAAAAAATACAAATGCATATTAAAATGGAAATTTTTTTGTTGAACACATACATTGACAAGTGGAAGTGGAAAGACATTTTAAAAAGAAAAAAAGGAGGACAAAGGCTGACAAGGATGTCAGAAATAACAAAGCAATTAAAAGAGATTGCACTCAACTGTAATGAGACAAAAAACAAAAAGCAATGGATGGGAGGCCTGGTTGGAGATCATGTCAAACCAGAGGCACCAGTATGGGTTGTAAAGCCTGTTCCTGCAACAAAAGCAAGAACAGTAACTGATGATGATGATTGATTGACAAGTACAATTTAAAATACTGTATATTATTATATTAAAGTACAACACGGAATATATACTATAGAGTAAAATATTCAATGTTAAAAAGATGTTAAGAATCATTGTAAAAAATTATAAAAGATCCAATGAAAAAAAAAGAGAGTCATTAATACCTGCGCCAAAGGAGGTTATGTACGTGTTTACTGCTGTTTGTCAGTTCGTAAGATTATGCAAAAACTAATAAATGGACCATCATAAAATTGAGTGGATTGGTACATAATATTTAAAGAAATATGTGACCTCTGGGATCCCTCAGGGTAGTGTACTGGGCCCTATGTTGTTTAACTTGTTCATTAATGACCTTGCTTCCTCTTTATCATCTTGTGCCTTATTTGCTGACGACACCATCATTTATAGAGATGTCCATAGCGTTAATGATGAATATTTAGTCCAAAGTGATTTAAATGCACTCTCCGCGTGGTGTGCCTCGAATGAAATGGAATTAAATTCAAATAAAACTAGTATTCTTCACATTACTAGATCTAAAAAGGAGTACCGTCCGATTTACTACTTGAATGGCTCCCCAATTCAATCTGTCCTAAATCACTCCCACTTGGGCGTCACTATTAACCATACCTTAACTTGGGATGACCATGTAAAAAATATTACAGCAAGGGCAAA